TATCAGCTTCAATTCAATCTACTTTTAACAGATCAAGTTCTGCTGCCTCTGAGATAAGATGAACAATGGAGGAAGAAGCTTTTATGAGATTTTCCACTCTTTAATTGAACCCATCCATTTTGGATAACATGATTATATCATGTATAAGCTTCACCACTTGTGAGCTTATTTACAGATTCTTCAAAAACAACAGAGTTACATTATACCCTTTTGAACTGAGGTACAAAAACTGGCAGCTGATTGAAACTAAGAGAAGAAATTCAGCTGATTGAATTTTTATCTTTGATGATACCAGCTAACATAACTCATAACAGAATTAGCCTCAATTTCAAGTGTTCTTGATGAAATTGTAATTTGTATTGTTGACAAAACACAGGGATGCAAGCCACCCAGCCCGATGGAAATCGGAGGCTCCTCATCGATAAACCCGAGTCCACCATCCTCCTACTTTGCAAGCCCAATCCCCTCCTACCAGCCCAGCCCAAACTCATCCTGCTTCCCCAGCCCGACCCGCCGCGACCCGACCCACAACCCGCTCCCTTTCCTCCGTATATCAAACAGTGCTCCGGTCACTCCTCCCCTCTCGTCCCCAACACGAAAGCCTCCACCTTTCAGCCTCGAAGCCCTCGCCAGGCATTCGATGTCAGCCCTAAACATCCCATACTTTGCGGCAGCATCCGAGCCCACGAGCCCGGGCAGAGGGCTAAGATTCGGGTCCTCGGCCACAATACCCGAGTGCGACGAGTCGGACGTGTCGACTGTCGAATCGGGCCGATGGATCAGCTTTCGGACCCAATCGGGTGTCGGGATTCCACCTAGGAGCCCGACTTTCAATCTCGTGAGAGGGGCCAGACAGGGCCCGGAGGAGGACTCGATGGTAATGGACACTGTGAAGCCGTGGGAAGGGGAGAGGATTCACGAGGTGGGGATGGATGAGCTCGAGCTCACGCTCGGTAGGTAGGTAGGTAGCGGGACCACGGCTCGTTTGAACTTTCGAGTTTCGGTATTTTTTTTTTTTTCGTTATGTTTTTCTGTTTTTCGTCGGTTTCTTGTTCGATTCCTCGTCGGCTGTCCTTTTATTTTTTTTTCTTTTTATATCTATATTAGAATGGGGTGCTGTTACAAAGCTTTTACTGATTCAGATATATGAAATGCATTTTTTATTTTATTCAATTTAATTTTTATTTTTCCTTGTGATGGGAAAATATAAATATTTTCTGTGCTGAATTGAACTATATTGATTTGGTGGTGTCTACATTACTTGGGGAACAGGTTTATATGTTTGGAAATTCATGTTTTACCTGGGATTTGTTTTTTTCTTGGCTTGGCAGTTAATGATTTTATGAGTACCTGCAGATTCTGGTAACCTTATAAAATATTGCTTTGAATATCTGGAAAAATATTATAGTCAATGCTTCTGGTAACCTTATAAAACATGAACATAAAGCATAAACTCACCTTCTCGTCAAATCCTCCTGTAACTCTTAAAGAAATGTCGAACCGAATCCAGTCGAACACATATTCAGGCCCGACTAAAAATCGTTCGAGCTCGACTCGAATCAAACAATTACACATTCGGCTCAACTCGGCTGATCATTTACCGTCTTTTTGAATTATGTAACCTTCGACTAGGTTTTGAAATCATTGACTACTCACAACTACACTTACAACTAGGCAAACACTCATGCGCATGAGAGCATCTCCAATGCTTTCAATGTTGTAGATGAAAATTACATTTCACATCAACACATTTATTAATATCACAATTTTTCACCCTCCAATGTACAATGTGATCACAAATATCGTGATGATGTGGACATAATTAATGTCCACAATGTAGAGAAGAATGTGGTTCATCCACATTCTACTCCACACTCTAATTAGTCAATGAGAAGAAGTGAGAGAATTATTATTACCATTTTCAAACTATTTAATTATTTAATTTATTTTATTAATTTATATTAAAATTATATTATTTGACAAGTAGATATTATTGTAATTTGACAACTTTGTGCATTGGAGATGATTTTTTAATTTAATAGTTGTGAACTCAACATTTGTCCTACATGTTTCACAATCTATTTAATTTTTTGACATTTGTCAAAAAAATTTCTACAACAACATTAGAGCATTGGATATCTCAACGGCGGCACAGAATTTTCCGGCCGACCAAGGGCGTGATGAAGCCAAAATTAGTCACACAATTTTGTAAGTAAAAACCCACTTTTGTATGGTCAACTACTTTATTTGGCAATCAATTAATTACAAAAGAAGTAAATGGATCCCTCATAATTGAACTGTTTGTTCCCCACGGCCCCTTTGCCAAGCTGGCCACATTTAACTCTAATTATGGCCCAATTTCCTAAATAATTGACAATACTTATGTTTTACTATGTGGAGTAAACGAGTCGAGACGAATTCGAACTCTTAACACTCAATTTTGAATTTCAAGTTCATCGAGCCATGTTCGATTCGTTGATTAAATGAGCCGATGAACGAGCTCGAATTTGACTTATTTATTGATTATTAATGAGCTTGACAAGTCGAGCTCGAGCCTTAAAGAAGTGAACTGGAGCTCTAATGAGCCAAACCATAAAAAGTTACAAAAAAAAAAAAAAAAAAAAAATCTATTTTTGAACCTTGAACTAAAAGAGAAACTAGCCAAGCTTGAGCTCTTGATACTCGAGCCTGGACTCCTTTATCGAGTCGAACTCGATCCTTTAACTAAACGAGACGATGAACAAACTCGAGCTCGACTCGCTTATCGATATTAACAAATTGAACTCAAACCTTAACGAGGCGAACTGGAACTTTAACAAGCCGAGAGAGAAAATGACATAAAAAAAAACTTTATTTTCAAGTTTTAAACCAAAAAAAGAAACGAGTTGAACCAAACTCAAACTTTAATGAGTCATATCGAGCTTAATTTATATAAGCAACTCATTTCGTTTACCAGCTCTAACGCTCTCTAGTTATTTTATTCAAGGAAAAAAAATATAATAATAGAATAATAATAAACAACAACAACAACAACAATAATAATATTCACAATTATTGAGAATCAAGATGAATGAACAAGGAAAACATTATGGATATATATACATCACATATTGACATTAGCTTTTGATAAGCCATATATAGGGTCACAATTTGCAAGGTCTCTTCTTATGGACATATCAACTTCCCCAAACCGTGTGAAGAAGCATGAAATTTTGTTGTTGTTGTTAGTTATTGCGCCGTGACACCAGGGCTTTGTCACATGATGTGCTAGAAAATATGTTTATGATTTTGGGTCTACTTGTCAAGAAAAAAAAAAAGATATGGGGTCTATTATTATCCTATGAACATGCTTTGGAATTTTAGGTCAACCAAAATAATAATAAGATGAAATTTAATTTTTACTCATAGCATCTACAAGAAACACACCAAACTCGAGTAAGTCCCCACCATTGCTTAAAAAAAAATAAAAATGTATGAGCCCCAGATAATAGAACACAATATAATTACTTCTAGAATTTCAGTTAAACAGCATGTCCTAGATTTTTTTTTTTCAACAACAAACAAGCTTAAATAGAATTCGGGATAATTATAACGAGCGTGCAACCAACTGATTACATGACCGGACACAAACCGCAGACCACAGAGGTTAAGTGAACAGAACTGCGAGAAATAACATTTACTTCCCCTTCAAAGCCTTAATGGCCAGCAACAAGGTATGACTACTATCTATAACATTTGAAATGAAAAGAAAAGACTTGAAAGAGTCTAGCATCAATGCAATATCAAAGAAAATTGGAGCTACAGCTAATGCGAGGGTGTTGTCGCTATTGAATTGTTTGGCAATGATGGACGAGTCAACCTTGCAAATGAAAGCTTTGTCACTTTGGGAGCCAAAAGAGGATAATAGCATCTTAAGACTCCACCTGATGGCCAAAAGAGTTGCTTCCTCTTTGTTTCCTGCATCGTTCAACACTTCAGACCAAGAGTATGGTTGTTGTCCCTCCTTCATACCAATACATGCACCCCACTCCAACTGAGCCATTATGAGATAAATGAACACTGACACTAAGGAGTAGTTGCCTTACCCCTATCTCGGCCAAAGCACAATAAGAACTTGAAGTCATAATCAACCCCCCTAGATATATGCATCCTCCGGATAGCCATCTTCAATATGAATAGTTGAGTACTCTACGTAAGAATATGTGGCCCCGAAAGCATTGGGCTCACATTTAATTATCCTATTGGGCCAGACCTTATTTAATAGTCAAACAAATCTAAGCCATTAATCTGGATATTTGATGGACGTACCAGATCTAAA